AGAAAGCGCCATACTGCTTTCCACAGGGGTTGCACCATTTTACACTCCCACCAACAGTGAATCAGGACAAGGAAAGACTTTAGTCTTTGTTTCTAAAATCTCCTGTAATGGAATACTGTGTTGCAGGTTTGGCTGAGCTGATTCAGACTCATATTTGAAGAACAGAACTGAGTTCCAGAAGATTTTCAACCTTAATCACAGGGTTATCTGTGACCTTGAGAAGCAAATCTCCAGGTCTATTTTCTGAGATACCTCTGGGTGGGTCTGACCCACCAACATTTTCATTAATAGTCTAACACTTAGCTGTTGGCACCATTCAGGGATTCGTAGTCTGATATTGCTGTTAGGTAGGTGCTGCTGAAGCAGTTCACTATGCAACAGAGTGAAACCCTGATTCTACACCATCCTCACTAGTGATGCTGTGCTCTGCTGCATTGCTGCTGCCCCTGTGCTAAGCCATCTTATTAAGAGCCGAGCCTCTAAAAAAATCAAATCTTAAAAAATTATCCAGAGTTTTCCCTGGTGCATAATGTCAAAACACTTAGTTGTGCTCATCTAAAACCTATACTTGGACCATGAGGCAGTCGTCAGGACAAAGCAAGGAAACACTGCATGGTTCAAAATCAGAAAAGGAGTGTGTCAGGAATGTGTCCTGTCTCCATACCTTTTCAATCTATATGTGGAACAGATCATTAGAGAGGTTGGACTTTATGAAGAATAATGTGGTATCGGGATTGGATGAAGACTCAACCACAACCTGTGTTATGCAGATAATAATCTTACTTGCCAAAACTGAGGAGGGTCTGAAGCATCTGCTGCAGAGGGTCATGAATCAAAGCTCAACATCAAGAAAATTAAGATTCTCACCACTGGACCAACTGGCAGCATCATTATAGACGGAGAAGAGGTTGATATTATTAACAATTTCTGCTTGCTTGGTTCCACAATCAACAACCTTGGCATCAGCAGTAAGGAAATTAAAAGATGAATTGCCTTAGGAAAATCTGCTGTCAGAGACCTCTCCAGAGTGCTGAAGAGTAATAATGTCAGTCTAGAGACGAAGGTGTCCCTGATCCAGACCATGGTCTTTGCAATTATTTGCTATGCATCAGAGAGCTGGACAATGACCAAGAACGACGTAAGAATTGATGCCTTTGATATGTAGTGCTGCAGAAATGTATTGAACAAACCATGGACTGCCAAGAGTACTAACAAGTCTGTCCTGGAGAGGCAAGGATTTTGAAGCTTTGTCTGACATACTTTTGTTACGTTGCCAAGAGGGGCCAGTCTTTGGAGAAGGACAACATATTTGGAAAGGTAAATGGACAAGGCAGGACAGGAAGATACCAGATGAGATGGACTGACACTCATAACTGGGGGGAATGAGGGTAGATGTCAGAGACAGTGAGATTGGCTAAGGATAAAGCAAGGTTCAGAGCTATTTTTGTGTATAGGGTTGCTATGAGTCTCTAGTGACTCAACAGCACATAACAACAACAACATTCTCTGGTGATAGGGGAACTGAAAGACTGTAGCTGTAAAACCAAGTAGAAAGGAACAGAATCTGCTTGATGTAGGAGAGATGCATTACTATAAACAATATAAAAGCAAATTAAACTCATTGGTGTTGAGAGCTTCTGGAGACTATAAATCTCATGGAAAGAGACTATCCATCTTTTTCCTGAGAAATCACTGGAGGATTTAAACCACTAGAGAGGTGCCACCTTTGGGCCAGAAGTGCAGCTCTCTACAGACTATCCCACCAGTTGTTGTTGTTATATGCCGTCAATTTGCCTGTGACTCACTGTGACCCTGTCTGTGTACAACAGATCTGAAGCCTGCCCTGTCCTGAGCCAGTCTCACTGACTCTGAAACACCTACTCCCATTGCCCTAGTTACTGTGTCAATCCATCTCATCCGGGGTCTTCCTCTTTTGTGCTGTCCCTCCACCCTCCCCAAATAATACATACAGAACTTGAATTGCAAACAGAAAATCCTTAGATATCAAAAGGGGGGGAGACAGATAAAGCAAGAGTATTATGTTTTAAAGAGAAGTACTACATTTAAAAATTTGTCACTTATTGTCTACGCAATGATAAAAGCTATCTGCCAATATAGCTATTTTTAAAAGGCCAAATTTCTCATTCACTACTGCTAAAATACCAAAGACCATACATAACGTCTGACCCAAGCTTCCACCTCATATAGTAAATTCTTACATGGGAGCTTAAAAAAAGATTGACTGGCTCACTGTCTTGCAGTGTCAGGAGACTGTTTTGTCTGACATATTGAATTTCCAATGTCTCTCACACTTCCTCTTTTCAGATGCACAAAAGGTTTTTGTAAAGTTTCTCTTGGCTTTATTGCTAGCAGCTACAGAAACCATGCCACATGCCTGGTATGGAGTTATAGGGTGTGATTTTACTTGACTTGAGTCTTCAAAGCTTCTGGATTTTAAAAAGTAACTATGAGATTTTCTTTAGACGTGTAAATGAAACGTTGTAATGCTTCAAGCGCCTCATTTGACCAGTTAAGATACTTACTTGCTATTGTTACATGTTTTGCTCATTCCCATACTTCCTTCACTTTGAAAGGAATACTCATTTGGTGTTATTTTGTTGACTTCTCTGGGTAGGTCACGTTCTTGAACCTCAAAACTACTTCCAAACAAGAATTACCTATAATAATGCAAGTTTAGGAAAACATTACCGGGACATTTACTAAGCGAGATTGTAAAGCACTCTGGAGTGATACGACTCTGCAGTTACAGATCTTGACATCTGCTATTGAATCTTGCATTTTATTTACTATGCATTTGTCATCTTCTCTTTACCGACCACATATGGTTTAGGGGAATAAAAGACTTTATGTCTTTTTTAAAGTGCAAGAACCTTTACAAAAAGCCTGCACAGAAGTATTCACAATATGGTAATTGAATATCTTTATTACCAAGTCCAAAATTAGTGGGTATTGCCAGTGCAGAGAGAGCAGGCGAGATTTGTCACGGGGTGGAGCACTTCCTCCTGTAGGGGGCGAGCTCCTCATACTTTCGTCTTCCCCTGGAAGGCCATTCAGGCTGGTTTAGGTGGAAAACCCTATCAAGGTTCTAACCAAGGGGTGGGGTTGAGACTGCAGGGTGGACTCTAACTTGAACCAGGGGAGTGTCCATGCATCCTGCACACACCCTCACAGAACTGACAGAAGTCCGGAGTAAAGGCCTCGGCGAAGGACTTCGACCCGGGGAGGGGCAGCCTGCGGGAGGGAGTCCAGCGGCCCGGCCCCGGCAGGGGGCACCGCCCTCGAAGCCCGGCACGGCGCGCCGGGGGTGCCCCAAACGCTCAGACAATGCAAGACGCGGAGGGCGCGGGCCAGG